CCGTCCGATCCATTTTGGATCGCACGCCGGAGAGTTTTGGGGCGTCTTAGCTCCAAGTCCTCCACCGCCCAATGGGGGACTTTTGTATTTTTTTAATGCCGTACCAACAGGCATTAACCTTAGGTAAGCTTGTGCTTTCTTTGGACTGTACCCTCTTCATCCTCTGGGGGAGGTAGAGAGGGGAGGGGGCGCATGGCCTCTATTTTTCAGGGGGGGTTCGGGTACTGGTTGGGGGTCGGTTCTATGTGTACTGCATCCTCGACTTGTCCCCTCACTATAGCTACTGTGGATCTTCAGTATACAGCTATCCCCACTCAAAGCGTCTATGTGTCTGACAAACTTAAAAACCAATCCATCTGTGAGGTTTCAGTATGCAGCTATCCCCACTCAACGCGTCTATGTGTCTGGCAAACTCAACAACGAATCCATCTGTGAGGTTTCAGTATGCAGCTATCCCCACTCAACGCGTCTATGTGTCTGGCAAACTCAACAACGAATCCATCTGTGAGGTTTCAGTATGCAGCTATCCCCACTCAACGCGTCTATGTGTCTGGCAAACTCAACAACGAATCCATCTGTGAGGTTTCAGTATGCAGCTATCCCCACTCAACGCGTCTATGTGTCTGGCAAACTCAACAACGAATCCATCTGTGAGGTTTCAGTATGCAGCTATCCTCACTCAACACTTCTAGGTGACTCGCAATCTCCAATACAAATCACCTGTGAGGTTCAATATATGTCTATCCTCCTTCAACGCGTCTATGTGTCCGGCACTCCAAAATCACTCAACCCGTGGGTTTTCAGTATGCAGCTATCCCCACTCAACCCGTCCATGTGTCTGGCAATCNCACGCATCCATGCGTCACGCGTCTTTGGTAGCGCATACTATGGGGGCTATATTTGGGGTGGCGTGTCTTACAGCGCTTTGCCAACAGCGCCAACCCACTGAAGTCTAGATTGCGGGGGGGTGGGGGGAGTGGGGGGGGTCATTTTCGTGATGGGTCGGTATCCCGGGCCATGCAACTGGCAAACCATACCACAGTTTTATCGGAAAGAAACATTCACCGTGTGTTTGTCGCTACGTACTTGCACTTGTGTAGGTGGTGACCCTCCCGGGGAAAGGACAGCACCAGGCGAACACCCTCTCCATGGACATTTCACCACCACGTTCGCTTGCACCACGGCCGGAGGAAGATGATAGCGATGGTCGCAAGACCCGTGATTCGGCAGCAACTGCATCCGCACGGGAGACATCGGCTGTTGGAGCGAGCGATAAGGATAGCGGCGACGACAGCACGAAGCGGGGAGAGATATCGGCTGTGGGAGCCAGCGACAAGGATAGTGGTGAAGACAACAGCGGCCCCACGAAGCCGGAGGAGGTTACGGCTTGTGGAGCCAGCGATAAGGACAGCGGTGACGACAGCACGAAGCGGGGAGAGATATCGGCTGCGGGAGCCAGCGATAAGGATAGTGTTGAAGACAACAGCGGCCCCACGAAGCGGGAGGAGGTTTCGGCTTTTGGAGCCAGCGATAAGAACAGCGGTGACGACAGCAGCAGCTCCAAAAAGCGGGAAGATATGTCAGATGTGGGAGCCAGCGGTAAGGATTGTGGTGATGACAACAGCGGGCCTACGAAGCGGGAAGATATGTCGGATGTGGGAGACAGCGATAAGGATAGCGGTGGCGACAGCGAAAGGCCCATCAAGCCTGCGGAAGTTCGAGTCGAAGCGGCGGACGTGCTGGACCTTCGTGTCTTCTGTGGCACCTGGAATGTCGCAGGTAACGAGCGCGTGACTCGAGAAGGAAGTGGGCTACAGTACGTGCAGGGCGAAAGACTCGCCTTGTAGTTTGCCGTTGTTTAGCGGGAAACGGAGCAATCAGTGTGTTGTTGTGCCGGAGACTCTGTGTGTTTGTGCGACCTAGAGTTTGCACGGAATGACAAAGGTCCAGCCGAGTGAAGCCTGCAGCATATCATCACAAGCAGTATCAACAACTGCATATCAGCAGCACCAATCACGAATCACAAGTGACAAGTGACTTCATCACCATGATTCCCGACGTTCGGGAGCGAGGTATGCCGGCGGTAGGGCTAGCTTATGTTGCGATTGTGACATTTGCCGACTCCCATTTCGACTTCTGTTCCTGTGGTGCTGTGTTACTTCTTTTCGCTGTCATCGATCACTGGAACACAGAAGCTTTTCAAACTCGTTGACACCGTCACGCGTTGCGGTGTACCTGAGGCGTGTAATACAGTCGAAGCTTGGATGTCGATACTGTCGTGTTGATCTGTGCACTCCTATCCCCAACATTCCATTCTTACCCTGCTCACTTACTCCATGAGACGATTAGTTGAGGTAAACCTGTTCGCTTCTCAAGGGGTGGACGACCTCCCTACATTGTCGTTTTCCGCAGGTTTATCGAGGGCAACGTTTAGGCATGCCCGAGTACCCTTCTTCAAGTCGATGTTTTTTCGCTCACAATAGGATATATCTCAAGAAAGATGATTGGGCGTGTTGGCTGTTTGCGATGTGCGATGAATCGTTGTGTTGTTTTAGGGCGGAAGCTTGACAGCGCGGAAGACATGGGGTTGTGGCTAGACGTCGACAAGCTGGATGAGGAGGGAGATACCAGCGTCCCACCGGACATTTTTGTCATTGGGTTTCAAGAGGTACAGTATTCACCCTAAGGGAGTCACCCTGATGGCACTCTTTCTAATCCCCACCTTGTTTTGACGTCTTTTCCCATGTCCCTCGACTTGTACCTCCATATCACTGGTGGGATCTAGAGTAATATAGCGTATCTTCTAGACAACCTTGGGGACACTCGATATCATTCTCACGTCTGGAGTAGTTTGGTGCTCCGTGGAGTATTGAGTGCGTGATGCCCGGAGCAAAGTGGTGGCCTGGCAGCAAACCGTACTTGATGCCCCCGAGTCTTGTGCGTCAACAGCGGCAACACGCCTGTTTTTAGGTAATCAGTTCGTCGTGCTCGCTGTCATCAAAGCGGATGACCGAACCATTTTTTCTTTTTTTCTGTCTTCGTCATCACGATAACTTTACCCTCCTTTTGTCCCGACCCCTTCGCTGACGGAAGGGTGTGGCCGGATCCAACGAAGCACTGAACGCATTGGGGCCGGAAGGACGAAGATCAATCGCTGCTGTGCCCTTCCCTAACCTTAGCCTTAACCCTACCCTTCACCCAGGTGGTGGAGCTGAGCGCCCAGAACGTGGTGATGGACAGCTTTCTCGACACGCAGAGTAGAACCAACTCGTTGCAGTGGTTCACGCACGTGTACGCCTACCTTGCGCAGTATGGCGAACGGGTGAGTCAGACCCTGTGATGGCGATGTTGTGGCGCAAGAAAGATGCGAGGAGAGTGATGTACGCTAGCACGGGTTGGTAAGGTCACCGCGGTCGGTTGATTCGCACGTTTGGCTAAGCACGGCGGGTCTTTGCTCACATTTAGGAATGGCCGATCCAGCGACTCTTTCTGGTCTTGGCACTGCCGTACTTGTACCCTCAGTAGTACTTATATCGATGTTCTCTCCAACATTGTACCGCCGTGCTGCCTCCAGCATCTTCTGTCTGTATACAATACTCTGAAGAAGATTCACTCAGCAAGAGGGGATGATTGTGCTCAAGGCTTGGTATTCATTGGTTTATGATGGACTGCTGTAGAATGCAACGTGCCGACTCGTTCAGCTACACAGCCTACGGGCATCAATTATTTTGACGGTGCTCTCATGGAGGCTTGAGATGCTATCCTATCATGGTACGCAATCTGTTGAAAATGTAGAATGAACCAGCAGATCGTACCACGGAAGCAAGTATTCAATTTCAGGTCACGTCCACCAACGATATTGAGATCCGACAACTCCCCGTGACGGAGCTGCGCCGCGTTTGTCGTGCGTTTGTCGATGCTGTGGCTGCTGCTGATGGTCACCATACTGCTTCAGTACGGGGTGAGGTACGCCATGGTAACGGAGCAGCGGTTACTGGGGACATATATGCTGGTAATGGCCAAGGAGGATCTTTGCCCTAAGATCGCAAATGTTCAGACCGCAGTTGTGCCGACAGGACTCGGGGTGAGCAAGGGTTGGTTGTGACGATTCATGGAACTTGCAAATGCGTCCTGAATGGTTCTTTGTTGGCATGTCGAGCTCACCGACGACACACTGTAGAGTAAACGCAGTCGTGGTTGTCTGTTTTTGCGTGTGTTATCTGCTCGTCAGGGAATCTGCTGTTGGGTGCGGCATCTTCAGTTGAAAGTCCCTGTCAAGGCGGTGAAGTATGAGCGCGTTGGTTCGCGGAACGATGTGGTCCCTTTTCCCCACCCAGTCTCGCCCCACACTCTCGAGCTTGTCTGGTGAAGTGGAGCGCTTGCTTGTTCACAACAGGTCGGCCGCAAAACGCACCGCAGTGCTGGGATGCACTGCTGTATGCTGTACATATCTGCGTTAATCGGCAAGGTCCCGAGGTTTTCGTGTCTCGTCGATGCTGTTTTTTTTTTTTTCGCTCAAGCTCGTTTTCCTCTTGAACGGTACCCTTATGGCTAGGGTTACCTCGGGAACAAAGGTGCCGTGGCCGTGCAACTGGAGGTTGGGGGGCGTTCGTCGCTCTGCTTCGTGTGCGTGCACATGGCGGCGCATCGCGAACAGATGCTGGCGAGGAACGCCGAGTACAAGCTTATCTCGTCGAAACCCGTCTTCGCCGATACCGACGGCAGGTGAGGGAACCGATCTCCATCTTGTTGGTCTCGAAGGGTAATGGCCAATCTGAACATGGGTGGGAAGGTCCATTGAGCCTCTGTCTCCAGGACTCCCGGGTAAACTTGCATGATCGTTATTGTCATCTTGTTTGAGGGCCCCGGTCGGATTGGTCGGCATGCTTCATGCCAATCCAGACTACGTTGGCATGAGTCAAGTGTTGTTTTACGTTGGGCAGAGACAAAAGGAGTTGTACTTGTATCGCCTGGATGCCGTCGACTGGCAGGGGCAGGAGGGAGCAGGCAGACCATACGACGGCAAGATTTTCCCGCAACGGAATATGCGTGGTGCGTGCCTTCTCCCCTGCCTGTCATGCCCCGTCTGATTGTACGTTGTCCAAATAGTTTCGTTTAGTAGTTTTTGTTCCTCTTTCTTGGTGATGTTGTGCTTGGTCTCTGGTGCGAGGGTCTGGCTGCGACCGCTGTCATGAGTCCTTGTTCATCTTTCTTTATTTCGCCCGTGTGGGCATCTTGAACATCTATCACGTGCTTTTGTGTCCGTCGCACGTTGCTCACCGGCATGTATTTGCTGGGGCCGGTGTGGCGCTCGCTCGACTTGATGCTGATTTTGCTCTCTATATGAGCTCCGGGTGTGCTGCTGCCTGTTTGTTTCTGTCCTAGCACGTTTGATGTGCCTAATGTGTTCCCTGACCACGGGGCATATATGATGTTCGTCTTGTCTCGAGAAGCCCTTCATGTCAACGATCTCTAACCACTGTTCGTGATTTTGCTGTACTCTTATTGTTTGTGTGTTGTTCGACATGGCAGGCTGCTCGTGGACGAGGCTGAGGACCCCGCAGGAAAGGATAAAGAAAAGGACAAGGCCCAAGACAGGTGGCAGGGTAGCACATGGGGCAGCTTGTTCGGGGCTGCCGGTCAGGGCGGGCGATCAGGCGGTATATCACCAACGCGCAACTCGGAGGTGAAGAAAGCCATTAGAGCCGCCATGGCCTTTCGTTTGCCAAAGCGGGGAGGAGGCGAGGAAGGCCTCCCTGCAGGAGGAGTGTCTTCTGGAAAGGGCGAGATCGACGGCAGCGGAAGTGAGGCTGAAAAAGGTAATTCTCATGGTACGCGGAAATGAAGGAACCAGGGGTGCAAGTGCGTGCCAGCGACTGCGTGGAATTCAGTGAAAGGAGTCGGTAGTACAATCAGCATGCCCGAAATCATTGTGCACCAGGGAAAGTAGTGGGGTGCTATCCTTTCGATCTCGACGGCAGCAGCAGTAGCAGCAGCAGCAGCAGCAGCAGCGGCACTTCCACACGTTCATCTCACGAGAAGGGTCCTTTGGTACACAATTTCACGAGGAGGTCCTTTGGTACACGATGATGGCAGAGGTTTCCCTAGCGGTCTCACGACTAGCAGCGTGTTGACCACGGAGGACATCCTGGCGTCGCTACGTGCAGATGCCTTTCCGCTGTCGCTGTCTCGCCTTTTTTTCCCGCGAACATTCTACACCACTCCTTTCCCCCGGTGTCGGTGTTAACCCTCCGCTGGTTGTTGCGCTTGCAACCTGAATTATTCAACGGTTGCACGGTCGAACGGCACGGCGTCATGTGCAGGTACGAGGCCCGCTGAGGAGGTTGAGGTCGACGACTTCGCTTGGATGCCGAGCGATGAAGGGATGAGCGCTGGTCTGCCGAAGACCAAAACGGTGCTGCAGGTGGGCAGCACGTGACCTACAGCGAAGCTTTTGCCTCGTTCCCTCAGTTGTTGTAAGATTTTTTTCTTGCACCTTGTTGCATTTTCTCTGCACCTTCGATAGATTTGAGCCGCGTTTCGCTGTGATTGTGAACCGGGCTTTGAACATTGATTTGTACATCGTCGGTTAAGCATGTGTCGACATTGGTACATGCTTCCTACAAGAGCTTTGGAGTGGCCGTCGACACACCGGTGCGTCCCAAATTGGTGGTGTTGAAGTGTCTTGTCCGCCCGTTTCGAACTTGTGGCGTGCATTCGCTACTCGCGTTGCGTCAACAACGTAGAAGGTTGCGGCCCAACGATTCGCGTCGATAGCTGGCAGCCGATTGGCACTGTAACAAATGGGGCACGATGTTTTGCGTTGCGGTGCTGTCCAGCACGAGACTTAGCTAGGTCTTTTGCTGAAGCACTGCAGTCTGCGCGGCCTTGAGCCACCCATTTTAACGAGTTCCGAAGAGCAACGCGTACGCCGCAGACTGAAAGAAATCGCCACACACTGTCACTATAAACAATTTGCGCCTTGGTCAGAAGGAGGTTGGGAACGACAGGTGTGCGGTACTATCCTCTCCAAGCGTTGCCAACCCTTACTCCGCCCCCTTCCTCACCTCACAACCCGATTTTTGTAGTGTGCTGTCGAAATGGTGCTGGGCAACAACCTGCAGCACGTCTCGGTTTTTCCTTGTCGTTCTGCCTTGGACTGGCTCCATGGTATCGCCCTTCCCAGTACAGCGTTGGGTTACCAGCCACACGGTGCTGGTGGCATGCTTTTCGGCTTGCTGCCGTAAAGGTTTTGGTGCCGTGAAGTACTCGGCGGTGAACGTGTCTTCTTTCCGTCCTTGACGGCCGCAGAAGTCCCTCACACTTCTTGATACTACTTGGACGGGGACGCCACGACCAACAAGGTTTTGGGTACGGATTCCTCGGCCAAACCGGCATGTTGACAGAGGTACTCTTGCAATCTTGCGGTAGGAGTATTTGATGGATTGATTCCACAAGCGACGCCGCGTGCTGTAATCTTGGCAGGCGGACATCGTGTTCTGGATTGGCGATCTCAACTACCGAATCACAGAGGAGACTCCGGACCAGGAAGTGTTTGAGATGCTTCAGAACGACGATCTCGAGACTCTGAGGCGAGTGGTTTTATCGCTGTGTTCCTAAAATTGTTCACTCTGCAATCACGCGTTGTGCAGGTGTATCGCGCATCATGGGCTGTGCACCACGTGTGCGTGCGTTGCGACTAGGAACACCGCACCTAGCGAAGATTTGCCAGCACAGGGTGTATGCTCTTGTTCCGTTTGTTACCACCCTTCACAAAGGGACTGGCCTGTCCAAAGGGCTCTCGGCCCAAACGTAGATTCCTTGTCCAGGCTTTTCCCTCGTAGCGAGGGGTGCACCCGATTCCCTTACCTTGTCGCCCTTGGTTCGTCAGGCCACAAATTTCATGTTGAGGTACGGGTCGTTGGCGGTGCTGAACGCTTTGTTTGCCGAATCTCACCATGTCAATTTCTCTTGTTTGTGGTCTCCTCGATTCACTCACACATGGTTACCGTGCCGTGCCGTACCACGGTTGTACAGTGGTTTGGATCAGCTGACCATCGCGCGTGCGTCGGGGACGGCGTTCCAAGAGTTCCAGGAGGGCCCTCTCTGCTTCCCGCCATCTTACAAGTACATCCCCGGCACCAAGGAATACGATCAGAGGCGAGTTCTTTCGTTTCCTGATCCGTTTCCACCAATGTCAGCGTTGAACGCGTTTCGTTTCTTACTCCTGACGGCGGTGAAATGTCCTGCGACAGTACCGATCTGCCGGAAGACCGTGCTCATGACCTTCCAGGTCATTGTTCCGGCAAGAATGATGTTGGATGTAGCGGCCCCAGTCCGTTCGTGGCCGTCCCTTGTGTAGTTTTCCTTGAAACCTCCCGTGCGGCACGTGGTCCTTCCACGCCGGGTCCGGCCATTTTTTCGATGATGCTCTCGAGATAATTGCTGCTGACTTGTTTGTCGTCTGTGTTCGGGTGTGCGGTGGGATACAGGCCGGAGAAAAAGGTCCGATGCCCGTCGTGGTGCGACCGTGTTCTCTACACGATGGGGATGCAGGGCGGCGACTCTGTTCGACGACTCGGCCTCGAGAGGTATTGGAGCTCCGGCCCTCTCGTGTCCGACCACATGCCTGGTGAGGAAGTAGCGCAGTCGTCTTTTCACGGCGTGCCCGGCCGTGCGGAAGTAGGTATGAAGAGACATCTATCTCAATATGGGTATCAGGCGGGGCTACTGTCGGGCTCTCACGTAGGTTTGGCGTAGAGGAAAGTGAGGCGGTATTTTCGTCGCTACGATGCAATGTTTCGCCTGGTGCTCGAATTTGGAGGCGGAAGACGTCTGTGCCACCTGTACCTAGGCCATACGCGTACCTGCTGAGGGTGCCACGTGTATATATATTGTTTTTGTAACCTTCTGGTTGACCTTCTGATGACCGCGATCCGCCGAAAGGGTTTGGTGAACAAGTCCATATATATTGCATGTTGTTTTCGTTCAATCGCGGAGAGGAAGCGTTCCGATTGCCCTCTTGTTTAGTGGAACTGAGCCTGGCAGCACATTTCCCTCCCTCCACCCAGGGGTCCCTCGCATGTACAATAGCATGGTTCTCGAGTTGTGCTCTTGTGGGTGGTCTTGTCGCTTGATGGTCCACGATAAGGTGCCAGTCGTTGCCGGCCGTGAAGCCCCCCGAAATGCCTCATGCATTGGTGGCCGGCCGAACGAGACCAACCGTTCCCCGTTCGACCCTTGTCGACCGTTCTGCACCACCTGTCATGTCCGTCGTTCGGGATGCACCAGTAGAATGTTTGACTCACTTCGCCACTTATGCCACTTGTTGCTGTTGCCGCTGATATGCGTGGCTGCTGTGGTTGATGTGCGACACATGCACGGACAGTGAGCGCGCTCTTCCGCACATCGCTGGCATGCGCCCCTCAGAAGACTGTGGCCGAGCCGGACGTGGACGTGGAGCCTCTTAGTCCTCGCAGAACAGCTTCTATAGCTGCGTCCAAGCTGTCTCCCTTTGCCCGTGTCGTGCTGGAGCCTCCGACCCTCGTCTTGATTCTTGACCAGACGCCGTCCTTGTCGGCCGTGACGGAGATAAGCAACACCGGTGGCATCAAGGGGGCATTCCACGTGTGTAAGGATAGTCTCCCGGGCTGGATAAGCCTCGATGGAAGTGAGCTCGGGGAACTTGAACCGGGAGAGAAGGTGGAGATCACCATTGTTATCGATGCGGCTGAAGCTGAGGCCGCTGCTAGAAAGGAGTCGAACAGCGATAGCGAAAGTGACACACATCGACCGGCTGCTTGCGCGGTGTTGCGTATCGAGGTAGACGGGGGCGGTTCCGGGACAATGCTCCCGGTAGTGTGCAACCTTGGCGACAGATGATCCTGGTGGGCTGCCATTGTGGATGGTTATCCTGTTGCACGTTTTATGCGTATCATGAGGCCCTACATACTTGGAGTTGCTTGCAAACACTGGAGACCAGGCTGTCCTGGGCCCCTAGACGTGTGGGTTCACAGGCCCCCACGTTCCCGAACCATGCACATCTGAATTTTGAAACGAGCTTTGATTCCGAAAAAGTCTAGCGTGGACCAGCGTGTAGCTTCAATTGCGGTTGGCGAGGACGCAGGTCAGCTACAGCTACGTGTCATGTGTATGTGTGCGTATGACATGGATTTTGGTATCCTGTGGCTGGGCTACAGAACTGAACGTACAAAACCGAAATGGTCAGGGTGAGATATAACAGCTTGCACCTGATACAGTCGGCAATCCGTCGCCGTTATTGGTTGACGCCCGTTGGAAAGGTGAAAGCTCCACTGGCAAACAGGAGGTTTGGTATTTCTTTGAAGTGCACCACCAACAGAGTATGCGTGGGGCTAGAAACCGAACACAACTGTATGGCCAGGTTGTACGCCGTTCGGACTGTTTACTTACGGTTTACTCTTCGTTGTCAGTCTGTCATTCAGTGCAGAACCAGAGCCGTTGACATTCTCAAACGAAGTGTGTGTGTCTTCCGTGTGCAACGACCCCCAATCACTACCGTAAGTGACACAAGATACCACTTGACATAGAAGCTCGATTACTCCACTACAGAATGAGCAGCAGCGCCTAATACGGCGGCTTTCCGAAATCGAGAAGTGCCATTTGTGTATCGTCTTCGTCGTGGAGTGATCGAGCTTTGGAAAATTGGTCCAGGGGGTGTGGTATCTTGTGTCATGTCACCTACGGTTTTCACAACCCAGGAGGCATCAAACTTGGAGCGGATGTGGAATGTAATGTGAATATTGGCAGTGGGGAGGCTGCCGACCTTCGGAGCGATCCTGGAGAAAAAGGAAATCCTTCGTGGTCGAGGCTAAATTGCTTAGGCCACTTGTTACGCTGTCTCTTTTTGGGCTGTCCCTTTTCTCAAAAAGGGACAACTGACCAAAAACCACTTGTTACGTGGTCTTTTTTTGCGTTTTTGAACCTCCCGAAAAGGGCCAGCGAAAAAAGATCACCCCATCCTGTCCCTTTTTGGTCATTTGTCCCTTTTTGAGAAAAGGGACAGCCCAAAAAGAGACAGCGTAACAAGTGGCCTTAGAATACACTACCTGAGATTCCTCCGCGACATGAACCGAGAGACAAATGTAGATACCTCTTCAGAGAGTTCGGAGGAAGTGTTTGGAGTGGCGCCAAATTTCATTTTCGACAGCTCCGTTTACATAACAGGATGTGCCAAGGCATCTAGCGTTATCGGGGGGAATTTTCCTCCAAATTGAAGCCAAAATCCGCGGGAACACGCTTTACGCCGATAGACTGTTCAAGCGTCAGGCAAAATTTAGAATCCTCGTGGCATTTTTACCACACACAGACGCCAACATTTTCCTAATAAATAGCTTTGGCATTTGGTAATCGTGACCAGCGCCACGATAGAGCCCGCTGCGGGAACAACACGGGTGGCCAAAGGGCAGGTTGTGGGTGGGTTGTGGGCATCAACAAGGTAGGGCAGGTTGTAGAGGGGGGTTGGGAGGAGACTGTTACTATACCCATGTATGTGTGTTGAAGATGATGGTATCACTTGTATTTAGGACAGCAGACACGATCAGGACGCGGCGGGAGAGAGAGAGTGCCACGACACAGTAAGCACTCCCGCAGGGTCGACTCCCGTGGATCAACCATGAAACCAACCCAGGGGACTATCAATTCCTGTCTGCGTAACCACTTCCTACAGTCCCGTTGGAATATTCTCATCCGCTCATGCACACACGAACACCCTCCCTGGTTCTTTACGCTAGTAACTAACCACTAAGTGGGCATTCACACGCCGGATGTGGCCAAAAAACCAAACGGACAAAAGACCAACGAAAACAAAACAACAGGGGGAAACCCGGCCTCCGGGTCAAACCCCCACCAATATTCACCGTTCCATCAAACGCCCTATCCCAACGCTTGGCAAGCAGTAAAAGTGCAAGACTATCCTGAGGAGTTGGTTCAAACAACTACAATGCGGCTGCACTACTGTTTGTTCTTCAAACAAACATCAGACAAACATCGAAATCGCCCCCCCTCGCTTATGAAATACAGCGCACCGGGGCGGAAGGCAATCATCCAACATTTGATGAGCGACACATAACCGGCATGCATTTTTTCGGCAATCCTCTATTCTCGTGGAGTACAACACTGGTGTCCCATTTTTTCCTCCTACGTTCCTTCAGCGGTTCCAACAGTATCCCATATTTCTGCACATTGCGCAGCCTAGAGAACGGCACCACGTAGCCGCAATCAATGAGGGTCTCAACCGAATGACTATCAGGAAATACTGAACATGTGGGCGCGAACGCCTACGAGAAACACGGAACACCCTCCCTGGCTCTTCAACCAAAGTACAGTCATGACAACTCACGAGGATTTACCAACTTCTCTACGAATATCATCAAACACCAAATACCGTCAAGAAAGAAGTGCCACAATCCAGCGCTGTGATGCGTGGTCCCCCCCTCCCAGAGCTCGTCCCGGCTTGTAGCCTCGCCACAAAAGGAGTTCCCGTTTTAGCACCACGATGCAAGTACCCTACCCCCACGCGCCTTCCGACGTGCCGCGGGGTTCCCGCTCTCGCCCCTTCCGATGCGCCACGGGGCTGCTTCGATTTTCTCTCCCCCTCACGCTCCGTCCGACGCGCCATGGGGCTAATGTTTGCCTCCCCCCCACGCCCTCCCGACGCGCTATGGGGCTGCATTGATTGTCGCCCTCCCGCGCCCCTCCCGTCGCAGCTGCGAGCACACGGCCCTCCCACCGTGTCATTTGGTTGTTGCCCTCCCGCGCCCCTCCTGTCGCGGCTGCGAGCGCACGGCCCTACCGCCGTGTTATTTAGTTGTTGCCCTCCCGCGCCCCTCCCGTCGCGGCTGTGGGCACACGGCCCTACCGCCGTGTTCTCTGAATGTTGCCCCCCCACGCCCCTCCCGTCGCGGCTATGGGCGCACGGCCATCTCGCCGTATCCTTCTCAATATTGCCCCCCCCACGCCCCTTCCGTCGCGGCCATGGGGCACACGGCCTTGCGGCCGGTTTTCTGTGTCTCCACCCTTCCACGCTGTTGCAATGGTGCTATCTTCACCATCTCCTACTGCTGCTGTGTGTGGATGGTGCGCGCGTAGTGACCAGCGCGGATATTGTGTCTTTCCCCCGCCTCTTCTTACAAGGCCTCACGTGCCACATCCAGCTCCTCGTCATCGCTCGCCACCGCAACCGCCATGACCGCCGTCTCGCCCTTCGCCTCCTCCTCGTCCTTCGCCGACGGGCACTTGCTCTTATCGTGTCCATACCCGTCGCAGTTCTCGCACTGGGTCATGAAGTCGGCGATGGGGGTAGTGCACGAGAACGACTGGTGCCCTCGCCTCTTGCACCGGTAGCACCGGCCCCTACGACGGCCGCCGTGGGGCTGCCGTCTCCACCGCCGTTGCCGTTGCCGTTGCCGCTGCCGCCATGTTCGCCGTTTCCGCCACCGCCGCGTCCCCCGCGGCCGCGGTTGCGACCAGCTTTTCCGCCGCTGCCATTGTCGGCGCTCACGAGTAATCCCTGCTCAGACGCCTTGTGATTGTTGCGGTTGCTGTTCCGATGGCTCTTCCCCTGCTTGATGCTGGAGTGCTGGGAGCCCACCACTCTGATGACCTCTCCCCGGTCCAGAGTCGGTGCGGACTGCAGAGTCAGTTTGGCATGGTCGTACTCGGCCGGTAGGGCCGAAAGGAAGAGCGACAGCACGTAAGAAGCCTCGACCCTGACCCCTCTCTCGTTCAGACGACTTGCGAGTTGCTCCATGGCGATAAGCGATTCAGTCGGGTTTTTGTCGGCCGGCATTGCGAAGTTCTGAAACTTGCTGAGCAACTCCTGTGTGGCTACCTGCGATTCCGGGTTGTGCACCTTGTCGAGTTCATCCAACGCCTGCTTCGGCGTCACACATCTCCCGAAGACGGCCTTGTCTGGCTCCCTCACCAGGGCCGAGGACAGAAAGTGGAAAGCTTGGAGGCTGCGGTGGATCTGCGCCTCGGAGTACCCCTCTGCCAGCAACGTAGCTTTGGGTTTGTTCATGTCCCCGACGTCCGGCTGGGGTTCCGTGGCCCCTACGAACTGGCCGTCCATGTCTACTGTTTTAGCAGCCTGGATAAAGGCCCTCCTCCACGAGTAATATCCCTTGCCGCCTTCGAGACGCGGCGCGTGCACTGACACACGCATTTTGCTATACAGGTTCTGGTGAAAACCATCTCCTTCTCCGACGAATCCGCCAAAACCACCGGTACCGCCGCCATATGTCTCGGTTGTCTCACCTTGGGGGAGCGATCCCCTGTCACGTCCGCCACCCGGCCCAACCGCCGGGTCTGAGGGTGGCGTGATTCCCTCGTTTTGCGGGGCCCCCTCCTGGGTACCGCGGGTGGGCGCATCGCCCGTAACGACGGCGCCCACCCCAGCACCGCCGGACTCCCCCTCCTTCTCTAACTTTCCGAGGGCGGATCGAAGCAGCCCAGTCAGCTGCTGCACCTCGTCCGTCAGGCCTGAAACTTTGCTCTCCAGGTTGTCAACTCTGCCCTGCGTACTAGTGGTGACGTCGGCAGCCTCTGCTGCAACATCGGCGCCACTCATCCCCATCACGGGTTCCCTTGCGGGATACACTCTAGAGTGTAACTATACCCATGTATGTGTGTTGAAGATGATGGTATCACTTGTATTTAGGACACCAGACACGATCAGGACGCAGCGGGAGAGAGAGAGTGTCACGACACAGCAAGCACTCCTAGGCCCTGACCTGTTATGCTTATTTCTTGACATTTTTATGCACGTTTTTCGGCACGTGCGTAAGCTCAAAAGGCGACTTATGCACGCTGGTTATGCTCAAAATGGCGACTTATGCACGCTGGTTATGCTCATTTTCCTCGCGTGTGCTGTACTTCTGCACGCTTTTCTTTGTCCCTCGTGCTCGGGCAATGCTTGTTTTGGTCGTTAATGCTCGACATATGCGCGCGCGGTTGGCTTCGTCGACACGCTTTGTCTATTATGCCGTCTCCCACCGTCGAAATTTATATGAATAATCAATTGTGTTGCTGTATCACACAGCGCAAATGATCTTGGACTCTAGTCTTTCAGGAAATGTTTCTTCGACGCATCCGACTACTACTACTACTCTGCACTCGTTCGTTCTTCAGAGGGTGAAGAGGGGACTACTTTCTTCCCGCATTATTCCCTTCACCCTTGGTCATCCGCGATCGCCATTCATTCGGCAGACAGAGTAGATATATTTATTTCTGGAATCAATCGCGGTAAAATACTTCAAGCAAAACAAATGCGCCTCCAACAGCCCCTCCCTGCTGTAGCAGTGTCAAACCCATCAGAACACCAAATCAATTGCTGTCAGTGCCTCTAGAATCATGGACACATTCTATTTCCCCCCCATAATTAATTAATTGTCGATGCAACGAAAAATAGCAATAAACAATAGCCATAGCAGTGCGGGCTACTAGGTAGGCTATTATTGCTGTAAAATGAAACACCGCTGGCACACCACGTAAAAGCCACTGAATGAACCAAACAGCAGGGTTGTTCCCTGTTTTCTGCAACAAACCGCACAATAAACGTCAAGAAACAAATTCAAGCCAAAGCCATGCCACACATTCAATTCCAACAGGAGGAACAAAAATACGCACAGACACTACTTGTTGTGATTTCCTTCCGTAGAATTCACCTGAAAATACAAGGACAAGAGGGGCCTACACGGTGTGGGCATAGCGATCAAGGAGGCCATGTGGGAGAGTGTGGGCGAGGAAGGTAGGACGGTGGAGTGCATTAGCCCGAGTCTGATGAAGGTTCGTCTACAAATTGGCCGCACCTGCGGAGTAACTTTCGTGGTGGGGTACGCCCCCACGGAAACTGTCCCCACCACCGCGGGCGGTGATGTTAACGCCAAGGACTCCTTCTGGACTACTGTCGACGCAGCGATCCGGGAGGTTCACAGCGGTGACCATCTCGTGGTGCTAATGGACGCCAACGCACGCACTGGTAGGAGGCGAGACGGGTGCTGCGATGCCAAGATTATGGGCGCGTACGGACGCGACATTATGAACAACAACGGGGAACGACTCCTTGGACTGGCGTCAGACAACCAACTCTCCCTGACCAACACCTACTTCCGGACACCGAAAGGTGGAGTGCAGCACACATTCTAGAGCTCCAACAAGGGAAAGGAAAAGTACCGCCTCGACTTCATCCTCATGCGTCAGGCGGACCGGCGTTTCATGCGCAATGTCTCCGTCAAACGTGTCGACTTCGAAGACTCTGACCACAACCTCGTGCTTACGACTGTCCGCCTCCCCCCCCGTGTCGCACCCAACCGACGAGTGCGGGGGAACAGCGGAAGCAGCCGGATCCGTATCGACCTCGAGCGGTTGAGGAAGGACAAACACCTACGGGACGCCTTCCAAAACAGGGCCTCTAGCCGCCCTCCGCCCACGGCGCTCAGGCGGCCAACGGGAGAGACCGCCGCCGAGCTGACGGCTACGGTGATGTCGGCCGCTGCTGAGACCGCGCCGCTGGCGAGGTGCGCACGAGGGCAGAGAGGCTGGTACACGAGCGAAGCGCAGCACGAGATCTCTGACGCGTCGAAGGAGATTAAGGCGGCCCAGCAGCAACTGCGTGGGGCCTCAAAGAACAGCGCCTGCGAGGCGACCCTGAAGGCGATGCTCAAGGCGGCGCGGAAGAAGCGCAGCATCGCGAGGTGGAGAGCACTGGAAACGTTCTTCGAGATCTATGTACGGCAGCTCGAGAAGAAGAGCCGAGAGGGGGATCAGGCGGTTTTCTACAGGCACCTGAAGATGATCGACGTCGAAGGTAAGAGGTCGTTCACCTCTCAGAACATCAAGGACGAGGACGGCAAGGTCCTTCGGGACCCCACGTTTATTCGCCAACGGTGGGCACGGTGGTTCCACAAGCTTCTCAACACCAAGTCGCCGACCATCGACCTGCATGCGGCTGACAAGGTCAAGCGGTGGCCCACGTGCGTGCCACTCGACGACATCCCATCTCTACTTGAGGTTGAGGAAGCGGTACGGGAAATGGCCAACAGAAAGGCCGTCGGGCCGGACGACCTACCGGCTGAGCTGATCAAGCTTTTCCTGGACGGAGATCAAGGTCTCCTCCGCGAATTCCACGCCATTGTCGTGGACGTGTGGCAGACTGGGGACGTACCACAGCAGTGGAAGGATGCCACCATCAAAGTGCTGTTCAAGAAGGGGGACACGATGGAGTGCGGCAACTACCGGGGCATCTCGCTCGTCGCACACGCCGGCAAGGTGCTGCTTAAGGTCGTTGCTACACGACTGAGCCACTACTGCGAGCGAGAGGGCATCCTCCCGGAGGAGCAGAGCGGTTTCCGCCCACACCGGTCGACGCTCGACATGCTGTTCGCCATCCAGCGGCTCCATGAGCTCGCGAGGAAGAAGAGTACTGCGGTGTTCGCGTGCTTCGTCGATCTCACCAAGGCGTACGATTCGGTGGACCGAGATCTGCTGTGGGACGTGCTCGGACGCTTTGGCGTGCCCCCGAAGATGCTGGCGGTCATTCGCCACTTCCACGAGGGCATGAGGGCGCGGGTTCGAACGGACGACGGGCAGTACTCGGAATGGTTTGACGTCGGCCAAGGTCTCCGACAGGGGTGCAACCTGGCCCCGCTGCTGTTCAACTTGTTCTCTGCCGCGATGCGCATGGTCGCAGTGACCGAGTTCGACAAGGACCCCAAGGTGACGGCGGATATGATCAAGATCGCAACACGAGTGGAGTGCACGGGCAAGAGGGGCAGGTCGGCGGGGAAGAAGGCGATGATGGTGACGGTCGCAGAGGCCCTGTGGGACATGCTCTACGCTGACGACGCGGCCATCGTCTCGCTCACGCCGGAGAGCCTCGAAAAGATGATGTCCATCATCGTGCGCGTGGCCGGCCTGTTCGGACTGATGGTATCGGAGCCAAAGACGGAGATCATGTGCATGCTACCGAAAGGGCTGGGGGAACGCCCGTTCGCGGTCAGCGCCGCTGGCCAGACGTACAAGCAGACAGATCGGTTTGTGTACCTCGGACGTACCATCTGCGCGGATGGGAAGGTCGACCGGGAGATCACGAGCCGCATCTGCCGAGCATGGAAGTGCTACCGCCGGAACAGCACTTCGATGTACGACAGGAAACGGGCCAACCGCCAGCTCAAGATCCGACTACTCCAGGCTGAAGTGGTGCAGACCCTCCTATACGGGTGCGCCTCGTGGAGCCTGGCAGCGGAGCACTACACCAAGCTGAATGGGACCCACCGCCAGTTCCTGACACGGTGTATCGGCTGGAGCAAGCGGAAGCGCTCAGACCGACCCCTGTCCTACGCCCAGGCCCTCATCCAGGCCGGCTGCGAGGAAACCATCGAGGCCACCGTGCGCAAACGGAGGCTGTGTTTTGCGGGCTTCGTTATGCGCATGGAGGACAACCGCCTCCCCAAGCGCATGCTGCTGGGAGCGATGGCGGGGGGTACCGGATACCGGGGCGGGCAGGAGAGCGACTGGGTGTATCGCCTAGGAGAGGACCTCGTGGCGTTTGGCATGAAAGAGGAGAAGGAGGGGGGGAGATGGAAAGAGAGCGCCAAGGACCAGGAGGCGTGGTACGACAAGATCGAGGACGGGGCGGCATGGTTCATGAGGAAATGGCACAGACAGGAGGCGGAAGCATCCGCGAAGCGCCAGCGCCAGCGCGCGGAGGAAGCAGAGACGGAGAGTACGGCCGCCCCGGGCCCGAAGAGAAAGAGAATCGGGGAAGCGGCGGGGGGGGGGAAGAAACGGCGACCGGACACTGCTGTAGAAGCGAGTAGGGCGGCCGAGGCAGCGCTTGTGGCGAACTATGTACCCGGCTGATGTTGTTGCGCCCTGTTTCACTCCCTGCTGTATGCTATACTCCTTTTTGTATGTCCTTTTTATTGCCTTCGGCCTCTGTGCTGTGTTTCTTTTTTTCATGACCTCCCTGCCTACTCTGCTGTGTTGGGTAGTACCTTGATCTCGCTTTGCTGTTGCCTTTGTTTTTGTACGTCTGGCTGTCTGCCCATCTTTGCCCTGTTTGCTCCGTTACTCCCATGCCCTGGTGCGCAGTGCCTGGTGCTGGTACGTTAGCCGTTGATTTTTTCTTTCGGCGGGTGTGGGAAGCGTCCTCCTTTATTTTTCTGTTATTATTATTATTTTTTTTTATCGGTGTCCGAGGGCGCTTTTCTCGAACGGTCGGTGCGATACCTGTTCGTTTCTTTCTATAAGTTTGTTTTCTTTTTCCGAGTGGTTTGTACCCTATTTTTGTTTTTTTGTTTTCTCGCGGCGTCGTATGTACCGGGTTTTGACACCACGGGCTCCCCATTTTTTGTGGATATAGAGCTAATGTGAGAAACAACAACAACAACAACAACAACAACATGCAGTACCAAACGAAACAGAAAAATATCAGCAACAAATATGAAGCGCCTCGAATACGATATATCAGACTCATATCCAACACACCACAAACACACACCACGGATGCCTGGTCGGCGGGAACCCGGCACGGAACCCTCCGGCGTTGTAGGCGGGTGTGGGAAGCATTCCCCGTTCTCCTTTTATTTTATTTTGATCGGTCTCCTCGACGCTCTTTCTCGTTTGGTGCGGTAGCTGGTCTTTCTTTCTATCATTTTGTTTCTCTTCCGAGTGGTTTTTGTACCCTATTTTTTTCTGTTTCTTCGTGGGGTCGTGTATGCCGGGTTTTGAGACCACGGGCTCCCAATCTTTCTTTTTTAGAGCTAATGTGAGAAACAACAACAACAACAACAACAACCACGGGTAAAAAAACAGCGTACTCGCGTACTCCCGTACTAATACTCTTCGCGCCCTCTATTGGACCATGGTACTTGATTGAGTGGTGCCCGGCGCTACGTTCGGCAGTGCTTTGTCGCCTGGCCAATGCCGAAGGCCTGACGGTGAGAGACTACGTCAAAGCATCCAACCAATCCGAAGCGTTTGACGGAGAAAGGAGGCACAAGCAATTTACGGTCCTGAGACGTGTACATCTCTAGGTGGTCGGACGAGGGTATTTTCGAACGTAGATGTCGGATACGAAAGCCCCCCGCACGTGGGCGTCGGGAATTCATTTCCAATCCTTTAATTGAATCACCGCAAACACACAAGCCACTCAGGTTGGAAGTTCGTGATCCCTGCGCGTTCGATTAATTTTTCTCGACGAAATATTTGACAGTTTTGTTCGAGTTACCCGCGACCGAAAGTTTGAATTGTTCACCAGCCAGTGCTGCACGACAGAAAAAAAAAAAAGTAAGCGGCGGGACAAAAAATATCGGCTTACACAGAAGAGCAGCGCGACCGGCGTACATCCACCCAAGGCTAAAGGTTTATAGAAGTAGACTATTTCAATAGCTATCTAGGGAACCAAGATTTGTCGAATTCCGTCCACTGTAGGCTTCAAACTTGTCGGCGCAACCCACAGCCCGTGCCCGAAAAAAACGTGCCGATGGTATCTACGCGGCGCAACCACGCTGCTGTGCACCCGCCAAAGACACCAAGCATGAGAACGCGCCCACCACTGCATCGATCGCCACAAAAATTTGATGAAGACGGACTGAGCGCCACACAGTAGATTGCATAAGAATTCAACTTGATTGGTGCAGAGGATCGAGAGGTAGGTACGAATGAAGTTGAAAACTGGCGTTCGCATACAGGCACCGTGCTTTTGCCCTGACACGTTGCCGGCAACACCGAGCATCGATTATGCTAGCTGCTGATCTTGTGGTTGTATAGCACTTAGAATTGTGCTGCAATACCAACTATAGGTGGAGTACTCTTGAATGGCGTTAGCTAGGTTTGGACTGAAATTGCTGTTGGAGGTGCCCCTCTGTTGTTGCACCGCACACGCTTGTGCCTGTTGGAGTCGGGACCCTCACCTAGCAGTGCACAACTCTCCTGATTCCCGAAGAAAAAAATGCAAGAATGGTCGAATAGCGACAGTAGCACGGCACCTACAGTAACAATGAGTTTGGCCACTGATAACGTCGTGCTTTGGGGTGTCGCATGTAGGCACGGCCGGCATATATATATGTACACATTGAAATACTTGTCTCGATGTACATGAGGACGCCCTGAGCATTGGGTGTGGCGAAAACGCCGGAAGTACTTACACACGAACACCGCACAGAATACCGGGCCAACGCACACAGCACCCCAACAATAGGTTTCCGGCAGTCTGCCGGAAACACGCGGAGAACAAAATACCACACCAATAAACAACGGATACCCGGTTTGGGCCAAGAATAATCCCCCCCCCCGGTCCACCTCCCTGCGCAACTACGTGCGCAACTAGTAGGAACGAAAATTCGCCGAGGGCGGAAATGCGCGCCCTAGCCGGCTTTTCAGTAGTAGGCTGAAGTTCGTCCGTCTGATATCTCGTACCCCGGGTCGTCGTATTTCGTGGATGGATGTATCCAACGGGAGTCAAGCACGGACGGACCTGTTCAACCATCAACAAAGACGCGCGAAGTAAGTCGTTGAAACATGGAGTAAGCATAAATCAGACCACACGATCTGTCGANAAACTCACTCTGCCGGGACTCGAACCCATGACCTGGCCCTTGGCAGGCTGTGAGGCTACCCACTAGACCACCGGGGTGACCGGTGTGTACATGTACCTGCCTGAAGAAGTAGCCAGATCTCAGTTCCAGGCGTCGGTTACGAGATCCGCAACACCATCATCTGTGTCTCCGCCACTCCAGTTGGAATCGACGCTCTTCTCGCTCACCCCGTCAGGTTCCCCATCGCTGGATCCAGGTTCGCTCGAATCCAACTTACCAAATCGTCGAGTGCACCGACCGAACCGTCGCCGTTCTCGTCCGACTCGGGGTCCTCTAACTCTGCCCTCTTAGATTCCGCAGCCTCGCCGGCGGAAACGTCCTTGCTCGCAGGCGACTCGGGGGTCCCCGCCTCCACGTCGTTCTGTTCCGCTCCATGCGATTCCTGCTGCCTCATAGAGGCGGCAAAGAGTGCCATGGCATTGGCAGCACTGTAGGATGGCCGTGGTCGACTCTCGATGGGTGGTTGGGGTCGGGAGGTACCCTCTACCCGCCTAGTTTGAGAAGCACCCACCGTAGGCGGTGACGCAGACCTCCCCCCTGCGCGCACGGGTGCCGGCGCCGCCCGCCGTAGGGTGCAACGATTACTGCAGCCGCAAGCAAGCGAGCACTTCTTGTTCTTGCACCTGCACCTGTTACACAGGGCCGTGTCCGGATTGCAACCACACGCAAGCGTGACTGTCTTTCGGTCAGGGGCGATATAAGCATACTCGGACAGGTCAAGCACGCAGTTCTCCTTTGTGAGTTCGTCGCCGACGCTCCCCTTTCCTCGTGGGTCGACGGTCCATCCTTTGCCGGCAAACTCTGTCGCCGGTATGGTCTCCCTCAGGCCATTCTGCCAGTACCGGAAGATGGCATTACCTCGTTCTGCTTGCTTGCGCAAGGAAAAAAAAGATGGACAGGTGGCTGTCTTCGTCTTCTTGGGGAGTTGGAGGATGGCGTAGCGGATCACGTCCACGTAGCCCTCGACGTCGCCGTCAACGCCTTCGACCAGCTGGGCTGGAATCAAATGAGCAGTGCCAAACGCCGCTTCATCCTTGTAGAAGAACATGGTCGCCAAAATCTTCGCGCATTCGTCGACATGCACGGCCCACGTGCCATCCTGCTCTTCGAAAAACAGCGGCTTGTCCAACGAACCCTCCGTCCGCACGCTCTTGAGGACCAGAACCCACATCTTGTCGAACGGCAGCCCGGAAATTGCCGGGAGGTAGTCACAGCCCTACTCCAGGAACGTTAGGACGAACAGACGGACCTTGTGGTTGTCCGTGGGAAGCGAGCCCCTGAAGGTCAATAGCGGCCACGCGGACTCGCTTCCGTCCTGGAGTTCGCAGATGCTTGCAAATATGGCCCGGGCGAGCTTTCTTGGGTATCTCCCTTGTAACTCCTCCATGCCAAGCTTCGCGCGTTCCGCTGTTACCCATTCGGCGACGTCCTGCCAGTGCAGGATTTCACCTCGACGGACGACTTCTTCCACCATAACGCGCACCGTGTCCAACGGATCTGGAGGCACCGGCGCCTCGCCCCTCGATCCATGCGGTATGCATTGTTCGCTGGGTGCTCTGGCTATTTCTCGTCTCTCTTCATGCCGTTCAACCGTTTCTGATATCAGCGGCCGCACCACCAAAGGCCATCGCTCACCGTTGCGTTCCCCTCCGCCACATCGTCATCTGCAGCATCCATGGGGTACCACCTTACGATGCTCTTGCCCGATTTCCGGTACCCACAAGTACCGCAAACGCGAGACTCTGCCTTCCTTTCTTCCTCGGCGAAAAAAACTAGGAAGCAGTCTGGGCGTGCGCAGAGGCAGTCATTGCTGGGCCTAAAGTCTCGCACGAGAGCTGGAGGGAGGGTTTTCTCTCCTTGTGACCACGCGGCCACGAAGTCTATTGCTCGCCCTATNTTCTGATAGCAGCGGCCGCACCACCAAAGGCCATCGCTCACCGTTGCGTTCCCCTCCGCCACATCGTCATCTGCAGCATCCATGGGGTACCACCTTACGATGCTCTTGCCCGATTTCCGGTACCCACAAGTACCGCAAACGCGAGACTCTGCCTTCCTTTCTTCCTCGGCGAAAAAAACTAGGAAGCAGTCTGGGCGTGCGCAGAGGCAGTCATTGCTAGGCCTAAAGTCTCGCACGAGAGCTGGAGGGAGGGTTTTCTCTCCTTGTGTCCACGCGGTCACGAAGTCTGCTGCTCACCCTAACCGGTCCGGGCGGAGGTGCTTGAAACCGTCGTCATTCGGAGACCTGTGGCATGCCGAACATAGCTTATCGTCGTACGAGTGCACTACACTCCCGGGGCATTTGCTTCACTCGGTGCCAGGGTGGTCTGTAACCCATCCGCATTCCATACGCTCGCACGCCTTTCTTCGCTTCTTGCTTGTTGGTTGGCGTACAGATAGCACCGCTGGGGCAGAAAGTCTCCTACCCGCATTCCGCTTTCCAGGCTGATAACCAGCTTGTCTTGGGTTCCCGCCGTGACTCCTACGCCGAGGATCAACGGGGTGATTCCCCGCGGACTCTGCTTTTTGCCGTTCNCCCGCATTCCGCTGTCCAGGCTGATAACCGGCTTGTCTTGGGTTCCCGCCGTGACTCCTACGCCGAGCATCAACGGGGTGATTCCCCGCGGACACTGCTTTTCGCCGTTCGANTTCGCTTCTTGCTTGTTGGTTGGCGTACAGATAGCACCGCTGGGGCAGAAGGTCTCCTGCCCGCATTCCGCTGTCCAGGCTGATAACCGGCTTGTCTTGGGTTCCCGCCGTGACTCCTACGCCGAGCATCAACGGGGTGATTCCCCGCGGACACTGCTTTTTGCCGTTCGTCTTCGGCAATCGCGCGAGCTTTACGGGCCGATGCCTCCCTCCTCGCCTCGCCCTGCTGTCTGTAGTAATCCTCCTCCTCGAGCTTGCTCTCAAGGCTGGGTAGGCCACCACCCGTGACACCAACAGAGGGCCTCTTCCTGCGCTTCCTGCCCGACCGGGATGTTCCTCCCGTCTGACGGACGCGTGCACCGGAATCTCTCGCGTCGCGCTTTGTCGCGGCGGTGGGGGTGCGCACCTCAGTGGTTAAGTTGCCCTCTCTCCCGCTCCTGATCCGTGGACGTTCACTTGTTATGTCTCCCCCTGAGTTGTCGACCACTGGAGTACGCGGGGTTAGCGGGCCTTCCGTAAGCTGACGAAGGTCCCATGCTGGCTGCATACCCCCGCTTCTGGGTGTAACAGAGCTCCTAGGCTGGTNCTTCGGCAATCGCGCGAGCTTTACGGGCCGATGCCTCCCTCCTCGCCTCGCCCTGCTGTCTGTAGTAATCCTCCTCCTCGAGCTTGCTCTCAAGGCTGGGTAGGCCACCACCCGTGACACCAACAGAGGGCCTCTTCCTGCGCTTCCTGCCCGACCGGGATGTTCCTCCCGTCTGACGGACGCGTGCACCGGAATCTCTCGCGTCGCGCTTTGTCGCGGCGGGGGGGGTGCGCACCTCAGTGGTTAGGTTGCCCTCTCTCCTGCTCCCGATCCGTGGCCGTTCACTTGTTACGTATCCCCCTGAGTTGTCGACCACTGGAGTACGCGGGGTTAGCGTGCCTTCCGTATGCTGTNGTGCGCACCTCAGTGGTTAGGTTGCCCTCTCTCCTGCTCCCGATCCGTGGCCGTTCACTTGTTACGTATCCCCCTGAGTTGTCGACCACTGGAGTACGCGGGGTTAGCGTGCCTTCCGTATGCTGTCGAAGGTCCCATGTTGGCTGCATACCCCCGCTTCCGGGTGTAACAGAGCTCCCAGGCTGGTTCCGAGGCGTAGCCGGTGGCGTAGCCGGTTGACCTGTGGGGTTGTTAGCCCCACCAGCCCGGTTGCCCCGCCTACCTCTCCGAGGGGTCATCTGTCAGCACGACCTGTGCCGGCCGTCATCTCATGCATTAAATACCTGGCCATGGTATACGACCAAAAATGACAAAATGTCACTTGACACGTGCAGCCTACGCAGGCGCACACCTATGCTATGTCTGTGGGCGCGCTTCGTTGTCTCTTGACAGCCATGCATAACATATGATCCTCTGTATGGGCATGCTTATGTACCTTAGAGCATGACGGACTGAAAGCTGTCAATCTACGTACTATATATGCCCGACTCGACATTTCTGCGGCGTTTCAATCTACTGCTGTATATGCACGGTCTGGAGTGTACGTAGCTGAGCGCCCCGGGTCATGTTTGACTCGTACCATGGCAAAGCACCGAGTCTAATTTTAACTTCAAGACAGACGTACTTGCCCTCTCTAAGTCCAGATTCCCTATAAATTGTTGTGGCGGCTGGACTGTATCGGGCATTTCCATAGTATCTTTGGATGGGGGTCGTGTATCCGGTGGATGTACATGCGCAACATGCAAGAGCGTGAGTTCGAACCCCCCGGCGTGGGCTCTCCTGAAATTTGAGTTTTGACCACACCATGCTTATTTTCTACCGCACTAAATCGCCTCAAACCTTCTGCATTAGGTGGCAATGAGACCCAGATATATGTCAGCAGCACAATTAGGCTGCAAGACGCCAACCTTGCGCAGAGGTCGGCTCGCGTGTGAAGCTTCCTCGCGGATTTTGGAGCTGCCGCAGTGTGGTACGCTCTAGCTGAAGTCTAAATTTCTCACTTACCATGTGTATTTGGGCGTATAAAACATACCCTGCTGTGCCCTTGCATCGTGTTAACATAGCTCTCGTGTTGTCTGGGCAGTTTAGCCTCTGGTTCGCCCTCTAGAGCCAGTGCTGGGTGTGGAGGTCTGTTGCGCCGCGAGCCGCCTGATCAGAGGGGTTTCCACAGGGGGCTGCTTTCCCGTTGGAAGCTTTTTTTATCACACTAACTTGTTTCTGTTTTTAGTCGTGCATCACTGGGTTTGCAGCACGCCGAGGGATCTCTTGAACTGGAAAAGGGAGGTCTTGTACGCATAGAGAACCTTCTTTGTTAGATGGACATATGCTCTTGCAACTCTGCACTGAAACCGCAGAACGGCTCGTACTTCTCAACTCTACATCTACGCTGTCGTGCAGCTGCATGCGTCTTTGGAAGACTACCGACCGCAGGTTCCGCTTCGTGAACAGCATCTCGGATTGTGGTCGTCTGTCCTTAATTCTTTGGGGGGCAACAAGGATGACAACGGCAGCAGCGGTGGCCAGTCTCAGGGATCCGAGAACACCCCGCGAGGGATTTACATGCACGGAGGAGTGGGAACAGGGAAGACATTTATGATGGACCTGTTCTTTCAGGTGGGGCGTCGGCATTGCATTTTGTTGGGCTTGTAGGATGTGCAGCGCAGTGGTAGAGCCAGTGGTAGAGCCACTTCGCATGCTGTGCTCCAGTCACACACCGTACCTCCTCCTCCTCGGCCTGCTCCCCGGCCGGGGCCGAAATCGACCTAGTGAGTCCCTCGCGGGCGAACCAGGACACAACAGATAGTAGGCGGGTGGTGTCCCAAGGTGCAACTCACCGCCGCGCTGGCTCAGCGTGGCGGTGAGGATGCACAGACGGTGGTAGTGGCGAGAGGTGTGTATGGACACTGTTCCCGCGGCAGTAATGCAAAGCGGCAAACTGCACCTGGCAACCACCGTCGCGGAAAGCGTGGCCCACGAAGCTGGAGGAGTAGAGAGATTCGTAAACACCACGTCAGTAAGCACCGCTCGCGGGAGAAGGGAGAC